AACCATCTACAATGCTCTGGTGAATAACCTGGTATGTGTTCCCTATTTTTGGAGGTGAACCTTTAAGATAAATCTCTAGAACACAGGAATATCACATCAAGTCCTCTAATATAATCTTACCGTCATGCTCCACACTCATAAGCAGAAACACCAGGAGTGAACCAGGCTAAATCTGGATGAATCTGGCTCCATCCGGCTCCTGCTTCCAGAACCTGGTGGCTCCAAAGGCCACACCCATCCTCAGATACTGACTGGATGCTTCTGAGAGGAGACACGAGTGCACTTTACCGAGCCAGATGGTCCTAGCAGTCCTTGCGCACAGCACTCTGCATGCATGGATGCACGTCCCACTCGTGGACGGCCCCCATGGGAAGCACAGCCAGGCGGGCAGCCTCTCCTAGTCACTTCAGGAGAGTTGCTGACTGACACAAGTGGGTGCAGAGAGTGGACCCCTGGGCCTGCCCCAGGGAAGGGAGATCTCACACTGTCCATGTGGACTGGTGGTGGGAAGGTGGTGGAACTGAGGTCACCAAGAAAACCCCGCAAGGGAGGAAAGCCGGATCTGCAGAAACCCAAGAGCCCTATTCTCAGGGATGCACAGGGCATGAGCCAGCTTTGTCAGCTTCGCACACTGCACCAGCGGCCTGGTGTCTGCGGGTGACACTCTTCAGCGCTGGCAGCAGAGTGAGGTCAGGCCTACTGCCCACTGCCTCCTACCTACCGCAGACACCCTGACATGGCCACGCCAGCCCCCTCTCACGCATCCCAGACACGCGCAATGCTGTGCTACTTGACTTCCCTTCTGAGTGAGCTTATTTCCTCCCTCACAGAAAATGTTCATAGTTTAGCCTCCTAGCAGGATTGGCATCTTCAGAAAGCCCAGCACCCCCTCCTCTAGGCACAGGGAACCGTTCAGGATAATGGACTAGGTGCTGCCTGGGGTGTCTGACTTCACTTTCATTTTTGCATTTACTTATTAATTCACAGTTATTACTTCTTAACTGAACGTTGTTAGCTTTTAAAGCTTTCCCCAGAACCCAACATGCAGAACCCAAGCAATGGAGGCTCAGCTGCCCGAGTCCCGCAGGCCAGGTGCTACCGGCTGTCCCCACCCGTGACCCCATCCCTGATGGAGACCCAGGCCTGAGGAACGTGTGGGAACCATGACACTGAGTGCAGCATGGACCCCTTCCCTGGAATGTAGCCCAGCAGGCAGGTGGCCAGGGCTGTACCACCTTCAGCAGCAGAGGGGATCAGGGTCATACGGGATGCCGAGAAAGGCACATGGAGTCTGAGCTGTCTCTGACCCCGCAGCAGCTCCTCCTTCTCCCTCCACTTCCTGGCCATGATGGCACAAGCAGCTTCTGTCCACCGAGCCTCTCTGCCGGCTGCTTCTACCTGGGAGCTGGTGACACAGACTAAACACAAGCCACAGTGAACCTCTGCTCCTCTGAGCTGTGGCATCTCAGTGATAAGAAGAGTCCTGGTGAGACAAAGCCTTTCAGGGAGAGCCCAGGTAGAGGTCAGCAGCCAGGAGAGAGGCAGCATATTTGTGGACATACCAAGCTGGGTGGAGGGGAGCCCCATCAGCAGCGCTGTGCGTGGGCCCCAATGACCCTCCTGCTTCGCTGAGTGTCCTTCATGTGGCCTTGGCCATGTGCCTGCAGCCCACATGTGCTGGACACCATGCAGGTGCTCAGGACAAAGCTGGGTGCAAACACACATGGACTTCTGCTCTCCTCATCTCAAGGGAGGAGCCCTGAGCAGGTGGGAACAGCTTTTGGGTGTCCAGGGAAGTCCTAGCAGAAGAATACATGAGCCCGGGCCCTGATGAGCTGAGGGAGCTGTGACGTGGAAGGAGCAGGCAGCAGAGGCCCCTGTAGGTAGAGACTGAGGTCAGAGCTCCAGCAGGCAGATCCTGGGGATGAGCAATGCTTGAGGATCCTGCGGTGCCAGCCTGTCTTGGTCCCCACAGACACCTGCAGCATCTGTGTGTAAAGAGGTGCTGAGCCCCAAAACTCACTGTTAGGTGAGTTCAACTATAGGTGACTAAAGTCTCCATAGCTCCCTGTGGTAGTGTCTGAAGTCTCCATAACTCCCTGTGGCAGTGTCTGTGTCCTCAGTGTGGCCCTGGCCATCACAACCTCCTCTGCGTGGACCCCACAGAGGGAGATCAGAGTGGTGAGGACAGCAGGAGCCTAGGGCTGCAGTGAGACCTGGGCTGCAGGATGCAACATGCACAGCCGGACCTCGCACCCTGGCAGGTGCAGCGTGGTGGCCAGTGACACCCTTGGCATGGAGTCTGGCATCATGATTATTTATTTAAATATCCAACAAAGAAAACCCACGGGGGCAAGAGCTGGTGTCTTTCCCAGCAGAGTAGACGCCAACAGGAGGGCCAGTGTCATGCAGACTAGCACTGCTCAGTGGAGAGGCCATGTCCATCCCTGCCCACCCCACCCACCCCTCCAAAGGCTCAGCTCAAAGCAGAGCTCTGCCTTGTGGACACCCCGGGCGATGACCGTGATGCCGTGCATGCTGCATCTGTCCTAGCAGAGGCAGGTCCTGTCCTCAGCCTGTGATCACTGTCCACACAGCTCCCCAGCTGGCCCCTACTCTCCTCGGAGCACCAGCTGTAGGAGGAGCATGGAGGAAGAGCCAGAGCTCCTGTCTGCGCAGCAGTTTGCCTGAGTTTTAATCACCAGTTGTAATCAAATGCAATTAATTATTTTGGTGCTGTGCAGCTCTGACATTGCATTCTTAGTGTGTGGCTGCTCCACACCTCCAAGCAGGAGGAAAGCCTGGAACCGTGTCTTTGTTTCTTGAAATTTAGTGTGATTCTCCCTGTTCCCAAAGCTGGAGTCTACACGTGCAGCCTGTGGTGTGCTTTGGGTAGCTGTACCGAGCCTGGGCTGTCCAGGAAAAGCTGTGGACTTCTGTGGCCACTGAGGTCCATGGAACAGGCCAGCCAAGAAGCAATGTCACACAGTCCTGAGGCAGAGGAGGGACACACTGGCCTCAGAGGCTGAGCGGGTGCAGTGTGATCAAACTGTCCACACCTGAACCTGCTTGGAGCTCAGGGCCCAGAGATGAGCATTCAGGCCTGGCTCCGTGGCCTGGCAGCCAGAAGCAGGTTGTGTGGGGATCCAACAAGAGCTCCAGTCTCTCAGAGCATTTGTAAAATGGAAAAGACAATAAAAGCAGCAATCACCTCTGGGGTGGCTGTAAAAATGAGGGGCTCAGGTGCTGACGACACCGTGTGACTAGCAGAAACACAGAGAAAGCAAACACCTGACAACTATGAACAGGTGTGCACACAGATGGACACCTGCTGCACCAGGGTCTCCACCTGCTCTGTCTGCACCTGCCATGTGGCTCAGGAAGGTCCAGGGTGGCACTGGGGCTCAGGAGAGGTGGCTGTGCTGTGACCCGGCCCTCCACCCTGCGTGTGATCTTGGGGCGCAGACAGGTTGGTCCCAGGCTGGACCCTGGGCACTCCGCCCCCAGGCCCCTCTGGAGTGCAGTCCGGTGGGTCAGCCACAGCTGTCTCTGCTTTCAGGAGGCCAGAGAGCTCAAGCGGATAGGGTTTGTGTGTGGGAGGCCCAGCAGGAGGGCACTCAGCTCGGCCCTGCACACACTCTGCCACGTGAGCTGTTCCAACTGCCGCCTGGGCAGCTCACGTCTGCACAGCTCCCTGGAATTGCAAATCCTGGGGTGGTTTTGTTTTCCATCCCTGAGGGCCATAATGACAGTAATTTTCATTTCCTGTAACTGTTTCCGAGACCACATGGGAGATAACATGCACAGTAAAGGAATGAAGATTTCACAGATGTGCTTCTGTGGACGGGATGCTGAGTTGTCCCAGACACACAGATAAGACTTCACCAGACTCACACCTGGGCACAGCAAGAACAGTGTTAGTGTTCCCCAGGGTGTGCAGGTGGCCTGGCGCTGGCCTGTGGTCTTGGCCACTTCTTTCCATGTCCCCTCCCTGTGGAGTGGAGCATCAGACTCAGGCTGCAGGTCTGTGGGGCAGCAGTGTGGACAGAGTCACCAGCTCCTGATGCAGGGCACTGAAGTCCCCACTTACAGTCAAGGGACCCTTGGTGTGCACTGCTCCTCTCCCTAGACCAATGCTGAGTCCACAGGGCACTGGTCTGTCATAGCACAGGCTGTCCACACACTGATCAGAGGCCATGGCCGACAGTCTGTGCACTTAATTTGCAAATCTAGGAAACGAGCCCATCACTGTGGGCCTTCTCCGTATCTGTGAGTCAGTGACTGGTGGGCAGCAGGGTGCAGAGGACAAGCAGGGAGGAGGCTGCCGTCCACTGAGATCTCCCCACAGCTGAGTGCCGCACGTGTCCTCGGTGTCCCCAGGGCCAGCCCCGGCATGGGCATTAGTGCTCCTGGCCTTCCAAGGAGGAAGTGGTCGTTTGTCCTGGGAAACATCACCTGGTAGGCATGGACTCCATCCTTGTAGGAAATCAGCAGTGTGATATCGGGAACCCTCAGAGATGTTCCCACCAGGTCTCACAGAGCAGAGTCCCCAGGAGGTGCTGTCTCAGGCCAGAGCTGAGCCCCACGAGTGACCGGCCACTAGGTGGCAAAGCCACACCTAAAGGCAGCTTCTTACACCCTTATGGAGCCAGTGCAAGGGTGGACGCCAAGACCCCTACATCCTGCCATGGCTCAGAGTCAGGCAGCTTGAAGGCAAATTTAGGACAGTGATCTTCCATCCACACAAGCCCCGCTGTGTTCTATAAACGAGCAGAAAGTTGCAGTAAAAATCCAAACCCACATGGCATGAAGCCCCTGGAAGTCCCTGTCCCAGGCCCAGTAGGTAACAGCTTTACTCCCACTGTCCCAGCCCAGAAGCCCAAAGAGCTTCGACATACAAGGCTCTTCCATGTACAACAAACCATCACTTATCAAAGATGTCTTAGGTCTTCACCAGACAGCCCTGTACTAATCCCCTCTCCCACCCCCTCTTTCTGCAGAGTGACTACTCCAGCGACACAGAGAGTGAGGACAACTTCCTCATGATGCCCCCGCGGGACCACCTGGGCCTCAGCGTCTTCTCCATGCTCTGCTGCTTCTGGCCGCTGGGCATTGCGGCCTTCTACCTGTCCCATGAGGTGAGGCCTCTGTCCACCCGTCGGTCAACACACCATGGCACTGTAGATGCGGCACCGTGGACATGGCACAGCCAGGCGAGGAGGCGGTCAGCTTGAGGGACTTGGGGACAGCAGACTTGGGCACTGGGCCAAGCAAGCCTCACTTGGGTGTACTGTCCTTCACCTGGGCATGCTGTCCTTCACCTGGTCACACTGTCCTTCAGGAAGAGGCCTGTGTGATGGGGATACAGTTCACTCAGCAGAGGCCACAGCCTCTGGGGGACCAACCTTCAGACCTAGGGGTGGAAAGCGGACACCTGACAAAGATGCCATAGAGAGGGAAGACAGAGTCATCCCTGTCATCTAGGAAGCTCGTGTGTAAAAGTGGACTCTGGTCCTGTGGCAGTTGGGTCCCCAGCCCAGAGGAAGCAGGATCCAGTGTGGTTCTGCCCTGGAATTATGAGCACCACCCTCTCCACCGCACACTCCCCTGGGTGATCCCCAGGTTGTCCCCCGTCCCCCAAGGAACCTCAGCTGATTTTCTCCTCTAGCGGAGCACCAGCCCGCATTCAGGAGCCCTATGTCTCCATATTCTTATTTCTCAAAGCAGACATCTTCTCTTGCCAGTGAAGCATGAAATTACAGCCTCACCTCAGCCTCTACCATCACCTCAGCCAGAACAGGGAAAGGCAGCCCCGCATGGGCCCAGGAGTGGGGTCTCTGTGTGGATGCAGGTATGGGGGCCAACCCCCACAGGGTGCAGAGGAGGAAAGCCCCAGAGCGCTTGCTCGTGGTGCCCTCTGCGCTGAGGGCTCTGGGGCTGAGGTTGAAGCTGGCCAGCCCGAGCAGGTTCTTTTCCAGGCTGCAAGCTGGTGTAACCGGCCAGTGTAGCAGTTCCCTCACTGGCTTCTGTGCAGGTGGCCTTGGCTTGACTGGCAGAGGAGAAGCCTTAAACCATTTCTTTTCCCACTGCACATTCTGGGTAGTACCCAGCCACTTCCCCGGCAGTCCCAGGAGGAGCTGGAAGTCAGAGGTGGCCGTGGCCATCGTGAGGGTAATGCCTCATTGAGGACAGGCACAGGAAGAATGGCTTCTGGTGGAGCAGGGGCCTTACTCTTTCCAGGTCCCACAGTGGCCTCATTAGTCTGCCTGGGCTCTTCCTTGTGAATGTGTCCCATAATGGGTTCCACAGGTCCTTCTCCAGCAACACAACACAGGCAGAATGCCAGGTACCCCATGACCAAGCAGGAGGAGGCAAGACCACAGGGCACACTGGGACCTGGAGAAGTGACTTCAGGTGGATGGGTGGATGGAAGGATGAGTGGTTGGATGCATAGGTGGATGGATGGTGGATGGGTGGATAGGTGGATGGATAGATGGCTGAGTGGTTGGGTAGTAGATAGGGGGATGGCTAGATAGAAGGATGAGTGGTTGGTTGCATAGAAGATGGTGGATGTGTGGGTAAGTGGATGGGTAGATAGGTGGATGTGTAGATAGATGGAGAAATGGAAGGGCAGATGGATGGATGAATGGATCAGTGGGTGTGAATGGTAGCTGAGTGGATGAATGGATGGTGGATGGGTAGATGGATGGATGGGTGGATAGATGCTCATGGTGAGCTGAACCTCAAATAAGCAGGAACAGTTTCACACCAAAGGGGAGTTCAGGACCCTGGAGAACTGCTTCTGCTCCAAGACTGGCACAGGCATGGCCACTGGCTTTCCCATGCCCTGAATGGTGGTGGCCATGGTGCCCATATCTCCCTCCTGTACCCAGTCCCCAATTGTCTCTAGATGTAAGGATAGGTACAAAGCTTCCTGGATTTGGATTTCCAAACTCAGGATGGGGATGGATATTTCCATTTTAGATTCCACAGGGAGAGGTGCTGCTTGTCCCAGAGGTGACGGTGGGCTCTTTGCGCATCAGCACGTGCTGAGTGGGGAGGGTCAGAGAGATGGCATCCTGGCCACTGCCCTCTGAGGTCTGTGCTGCCCCACGTGTCCTCTCCTGGCTGACACTACCCTCTCAGGAGCCGGGCACATGGTGGACAGCACCTTTGTCCTAAAGATTGCAATTACAACAGAACAAGGGCTACTGCGGCAAGGCCAGTGCTTGGGTTCTCTTTCTCGGGAGGTGATTTCATTCTCAGCATGGTACAGCCTCTGAGACTGTGTCTGATGACTCATGACATTGTTCCTGTGGTGGTCAAGGGGACTTTTATTATTTGTGAAGCAGCAAAAACAATGGACCTCTTGCAGGCTTCTGAGCTCGCTTTTTGGCAGTGAACCTCAGGACACTGTGTGTTGGGGAGGGGTGGCCTACACAGCAGAAAGGGAGGAACAGCTCCCCAGGACCCTAGGGCCCCCAGCCATCTTTCCCTGTGCTGGAGAACAGATTCCCTCCCTACCCATGACATAGGAGGGCTGCATTTCCATGAGGAACTTTCAGAGGTGACTGGCTTTGTCCTCATCTCTTGCAAGCCCCCTTCCTAGTGGGTCTCCCCTTTAGGTCTGCAGCTCTGGGCTGGGCTGGGGGTCCCTGCTTGAGTGCACAGCCCACATACAGATACAGGGCCCCCCACCACCCAGCAGGGGCAGTGCCCAGAGGACGGGTGGCAGGAAGCCAGCAGACACAGCAGAAAATCGGCCAAATTCAATCAGCATTGCCTGTTCTGAGCCAGGCTGGAGGGAGAGGCTGGCACCCACCCCGAGGCCTTTTAGTCCCCACGGCAAAAATTGTGTGGCCCACAGGAGGTGACAGCTGGAGAGTGTGTGCCTGGCCCCCAAAGCTACCTGCTGTCCACAGGAACCTTCCACCACCCAGGGTGACGTTGGGATTTTCCTTTCGTCACAGCTGCCCACTGACAGCTATGCTGCATCTGCTCATTGTCAAAACACCACTCAGTGAGAGCTAAGAAACAGGCGTAGCTGTTCTGGAGAATAGAGCAAAACCCCACACGGCAGCTTGATTAGATCAGCAGTGGTGGGAATTCATAAGGCCTGGGCGTTTTGGTTCCGTCATCTTCAGCAGGCCGCTCCTCCGTGCTTCTGTTTCCCAATCCTAGTAAGTGTGGAAGTCATTCCCAGGGCTTAGAGGCAGGAATTGGGGTCCAAGTGCCAGGAGGCTTTGGGAGGCCCTAGGGTGCAGGGACAGTGCCCTGTGGGATCCCTGGGCAACCACCTGTGGATGCAGGAAAGGAGCTGTAGAGCTGCGGACCCTAGGAGCTCTTTCCAGAGGACAAAGCTGCGGCCACGCCTGCATGCTGACACTCAGCTGGTGCTGCTGAGCACTCACCACTGCACCCTCCTCCAGGTGCCATCTGGGCCCCAGTGCCATCTCCAAGCTCTTGAGGGGTCACAGGTTTTCCGGCCCCACCTCTGTGGCAGAGTGCTGCGCGTGGTGTCCCTGGGCAGACCAGTGGCTGGCTGGGCCGGGTGGGGTGGAGGCGGACACACAGGGAGCCGCTGGAGGCCAGTTGCAGGGCCATGCCGCATTTCCCGCAGGGCTTACTGCCTGCCGTGACTCCAGGGCCAGAAGTTCTGTGCTCGGGTCTCAGAGAGGAGGGGTGGGCATGGAGGTAGTGCCTACCCACTTAGGAACAGAGGCTTCCAAGTGACCTGAATGTGAAAGCAGCCCCATCTGCCAGACAACCGCACTCGCTTGTATTTAACCTCTGCCGTGAGCCTGTGGGAGAAAAGCTGTGACTCCCACTTAAATAAGAATGGAGGAAGGCACAAGGGAGCTTGCAGGGGACAGGAGCGGACACTCACCATCCAGCCTCAAGCCCAGGTCAGCAGCCTGACTGTATTCTGCCTGCAGGACTCAGATGGAAGTAAACAAACGTAGGACCACGGCCCTCCTCCCGACTCCGCGTCCTCACAGCCCACATGGGGCACAGCGGCCTTGGAAGAAGGGTTCTGGGCTCTGGGGTTTGCCCTTGGGGCCCTGTGCTGGGTCCCCAGGGACAGCAGCTGGACGCCTCCAGGCTCAGGTCTGGGACAGACACTGAGGAGATGTGTGTGGAGTCATCCTGCAAAGGCCCCTGCTTTCGGGCATTTATTATGTCATTATTTAATTTCATTTCATAAAATGTTTTTTTCTTTACTAACTGCAACATTATAACAATAATTAAATGAGGGAAGGGTTTTCAGAGCCAGATGATGAATTTTATGATTAGCATCAGCAACGGGAACTGGGCAAACGGAGCCAGTGACCATGTCCTTGAGCTCCGGTCACCATCTGGTCGTACTGATACCTGTGCCCGTCACCCTGTCCCCTGCTGGTGCTCAGCAGTGAACAAAGCTGGTGTCCCAGTGAGGAGGCACAAGCAGTAGACAGAAACAGGAGGGGAGAAGGTGCTGGAGAACCGCAGATGGGGAGACAGCCACAAGTGGTGTGGGGAGTGCGGGGCTGGACAGGGGCTCTGGTGACTTTAGCGGAAGGACCTGCTGAAGGGGACATTGCTGACAGAGCCCGGGGCCAGCCCTGAGGCTCTCCTGGGGTCTGGACCGGGCCACCACAGGACTGGGACTGGGACTGGGACTGGGACTGGGACTGGGACTGGGACTGGGACTGGGACGTCTGTTGGGAAACACTGCAGGCTTGATGGAGGAGAGGGGGAAGGGCCTACAGGAGCACATTTGCAGTGGTGAGGACCCTGTGCGGCCACCATGCTAGCTGCAGGGAATAGTGGAACTGAGCAGCGGCTGGATGTGCCTTTCGGTCCTAGGGAGGGCAGGGCTAGAACAGGAGCACGAGCAGCAGCGTAAGGCAGGAGGAACGAGGGTCGATTGGCCACCTGTGCATGTGCAGGGAGAGTCTGTCACAGTGAGCTGCAGAAGGCCAGACAGGGCACCGTGGGGGCTGAGAGAGGCCTGGGTGCTGGGCGCACACTTGTGGAAATGCCTGGACCTTCACCTGTGGTCTCCGCATCCTGTGCTCACCGTGCACCGGTTAACATTTTGCACATGTCCAGGAGGAGCAGAGCAGAGGCAGCAGTCTGTCCTCTCCAGAGTCTGTGTCCGCAGCGGTGATTCGCCAGCTGCTTCCAGCTGAAGGCCATGGAGCATGAGGCAGGCGCTTGGGCACAACAGGGCGGGGGTCCTAGGACTCGGACACTGTGTGGAGGGAGGAGTGGTGCTGCACACCCGGCGCTGTGCACATGCATGGCCTCCCTCATCTTGCAGAATCAGGTGGGGACCCCTCCTGACTCATGTAAGTTCAGCACACTGACCTCCTCCCTCTGCAGAAGAGACTCTCAGAAGAGGATGAAGGATGCAGATGAGAGGCTGCCCTTCAGATCCCCCTGGTGGAGCACAGGATGGACACCGCCCTTACTGCAGCAGGAGTTGGATATTTCCCATCTCCGTCTCCACTCTGCATGTTCCCATTGATTCTTGCTGGCTGGCTTGTAGGATGCTTGCCACTGCTCCAGGCCATTTCCCAGAGAGAGCCCCAACTCCCTGCCCTGGCGTGGGACTCCCCTTCTGAGTGGCCAGGCCTCCTCATGGGGCCCGTGGTGCTGTCTGTGACCCCAGCTTCCATCCTGGTGCTCGTGAGTGGCCGGCCCCACAGTGTCTGACCAATTGCACCCTGGGGTCTGGATGGTTTGCCGCATTTTCCAGGTTTTAATACAGAAAGAACAAGCTGATCTGCCCTTGGAGAAACATGAGGTCAAAGAGATAATTTGAAAACAGGGCACAGGAAGCGGCAAGGGACTTTTGCTCATTGCCAGGTTGCTGGCCTCCCACCGGGGGACAAACCGACTTTCTGGGTTTATTGACATGTTTATCTCACCACGCGTCCTGCTCCAGCATGCATTTGAGGAGCAGCCCAGCAGGACCCTGCAGACAGCTGGCCACCTACATTTGAGAGGCAGCCAGACCCAGGCCTTGAGACCAGAAATGATCGCGTGTGCTTCCTGTCTCACCCTCAGGGCGGGGTCTGCTTCCCCAGCTGCCTTCTTTTCTGTCTTGCATTTCTTTCTCAAAGGGCCATAGTTGTGAGGTAGCATTTCCTTCACTTTTCTTCCAACGCATCCATTTGCACCTTGTCCTGGAGATGCTGAGCAAGGCAGGGGCCCAGCACCCCGAGTCACCAAGCCAGTCCTTGGGTCAGGCTGGGTTGGGACAGATGGGCTCTGCCTGAGTCTTGGGAGAAAGGTCTGTGGGCCCCAACTCCAAAGGGCTCCACTGGGCTCCCCAGAACCACAGCACACTTGGGGTGCTTATGCTGCATTGGGAACACAATCCCAAGCCAGCAACTCAGAGAAATTGAAATGAAAATGCAGTGGTGATCAGACACACTGGCTTCCAGAGAGGGAGTTGGTGCCCAGCTCCACGCCCACCACCAGGGTTGTCCCGACCCTAGACAACTGCCTTGCACCCCGACTCTGTGTCATGGGCTCCATGAGCTCAGGGAGGCCGGAGGCCTTGCACCTATGCAAGGATGCCTAGTGGGGATGGAGGAGGGGTCTCCAGGTCTGTATGGACTTGAACCCCAGACCAGGTCTGGGACAACAGTGTGGCTGAGGGACCTGGAGGCAAGTGGACTGGGCCACCCTACACCTAAGCCACCACTCAGCCTCCAGGAACCCCAGATCCTCCATGCAAGTGTGGAGGGCCCAGCATCACCCCCAGAGCCTGGGAGGTCACATTGCAGCACAGAGCCGGTCCAGGGTCAGGCTGCAGCTTCTGCCACAGCATGTGGTGTAAGCACTTGCTGGCCTTTGTCCAGGATGCAGCCTGCGTGAGCCACACAAGGACTCACAGAGGAAGTGCGCCCCACAGGGCAGCCCTGTCCCCCCGCCCCTGGGAGGATCCAGCTACACTGAGCAGGGCACTACAGTTCAAAGGGCAACACAGGGTGGAGAGAGGGTGCAGCTTCCTCAGTGCCCACAAGGCAAGCACAGTCCCAGCACAGCCCGGGGCACAGTGTCTACACCGAATGCCCACATCAGTCCCGGTCACCATCATATTTGCAAGATGATGGGCTTGGTGGGGGGCGGGTCTGTCCTTGGCCTTGGATGCAACCAGGGTGCCCAGAATAGCTCTGCCAATCTGGTGCATCCCTGTGGGCTGCTGACAGGCAAGAAGGGTGTCCAGGCCAGCACAGCAGTGTCTGCAGGCCAGAGCTGGGGTCCACGGGTGCCAGAGGAGGAACCTGGACTCCAGGACACCCTGGGATGCCCACATGTGACTCCCAGGGTACTGCTGATGGCCACTTTTTCTTTTTCTGTGTAATACCAATTTATTTTGGTTTTCTTCTTGTTCCAAGGGAATTTTTTTTTTTTTTCTGTGATAGGGTCTCACCATGTTATGCATGCTGGCCTTGAACTTGCTTATGTAGACCAAGCTGGCCTTGAACTGATGGCAATCCTCCTGCCTCCGCCTCCTTTTTGATTATTTATCAGTTACTCTCCATTTATCCTTCCAACAGAGTCCATTTTATGTCACTAGATGCGTCCTTTGTGTTGTAGTCAGTATTTGCAAGGGAAACAGATTTAATGCAGACACAGAAATTTACAAGATTAGCTGACAATATCCACCCACAGAGTACAAGAGATCTTCACAGATACTAGAGACCTGAAGCATCCAGCCAAGGGCCTGGAGCCTGGGGCAATGTCCCACGCAAGTCCACATCAGAGGCCAAGGAGTCTGCTATGGGAGACTGAAGGGTCTGCACAGAAAGCCCAGGGGCCGGCACTGGAATGTAGAGAGTCTGCACCGGCAGCTGAAAGGCAGTGCCGGAAGCTGAAGAATCTTCTCCAAGAACCAGGAGATGATGCTCCATGCTCAAGGCGAAGGTGAGGACAAGAGCTCCTCCCCAGCGCTCCCACCCCAGAGAACTGCAGCCGTCCTTGGCAAAGGTGAAGACAGAGGCTCAGCCCAAGAGAACAGCCCAAGCTTTTTGGGAGAAAAGCAGCCAGACAAAAATCAGCAGCGCCAAGGCTCTTCCAAGAGAATCAGTGTGAAATCCCTTTTATACGGTCCTCCTTTTATAGTGTTCCAACAACAAGCCCCCTTAATTGGGTCTCCCATGCCCAGAACCACGCTGACTCAATTCAGCTAGGTGCCCCGACTCCAGTTGACAGTCAACAGCCACACTTTGTGACTTCACCCGGGGTGGCCCTTGGGAGTGGAATTTTGGTTGCATTCCCTCTGTAACCTCTCAACTTCTGCCAGGCCCACTTGTGGAATGATAATACTGGCTTTGCTTATTATTTGTGCTAGGATTTATGTGCCTTCTTTTTCAATTCTGCTACAAGTTCTTTTTTTCCTGTTCCAATTACCTGCCAGATTTTCAAGCTGTCCCTTTGTCTCCCAAATACGGAAGCAGAGGTGTTTTACGGTCTCTGCCTGGTAATTGCAGAGCTGGGGGTCTGCTTTTTCTGTGTATCCTATTTGCATGGTCCATCTTCCTAGACCCCAGTCACAGACCGGGCACTGTTCTGAGAGGTACTACAGAGCAGTCGGAGGGTTAGAGGGGTAGAGGGTTATTCATCCTCTGCACACAGGTCCTTCTGGGCTTTCCCAGGATGTGGGCTCAGTTTGAAGTCACCTTCGTCTGTGCACCAGGAGGTGCTGCAGTTAGACAGTGTGCTCTGCCTCAGTTTCTCTATGGCCTCCCACTGTGACACTCTGGCCCACCACAGGGGCTAGTTTAACCACATCTCCCTCTAGTGGACTCTGAGCCTCAGCCGTGATCCCCACTACCCTACAAAGTAGACAAAGCTGGCCCTCCTGAGTGCCCCTTTGGGCCAGCAACCATCCCAGACACAGTGTCCTGAGCCTTTTCACCCGTCCAGAATCTTGTCCCCCTCCCTAGTCTTGGACAGATAACCTTGTCTTTTGTCTCTTTGGTGCTTGCTAAACTGCTCTTTACCATCTCTGCAAGGTTTGCTAGTCCGGCACCACCAGGAGTGGAAATCTGCATTTCTCCATCTCCCTAGTTGTGTGGACTGGGAACATGTCCCTTTACAATGACAGCACTTTCAATTTAGGATGCAAAGTCTTGGTTGAGGAATTTAGAGTCGCTGCTGCCAGAACTCTCGCTCTCTCCAGCACTAATTGGAGCCTGAGCTGCCTTGTGCTACAAGAGTGATCAGGAACCATGCCACATGGCTGGGAAGGGATAGGAAATGAGACAGGACCAGTGCCCCCCCCCACTTGACACCAGGGGAGAAACCACCCTGGCCTCATAACATTAAGAGCCACCCCCCAGGCGCCCACCAAGTGGCCACCACCTCTGCACCTGGAGCAGAGATGGATGCCCCCAAACATCCTTCTACAAAGATGAACCAGGTGGCTTCTGGTGCAGGCCCCTAAGAGTGTCCGGCAGAGTTGCAGGTCGATGGCTGAGATCCAGTCAGGCCCAGGTGATCTGGAGACATGGCTCGTGCAAAACTGTGGACAATCAGCACTGACGCCAGCCCCAAGCGGGAACAGGCTGCTTACAGGGCATGAGTTCCTGGCCCTGCTGGCTCCGTCCTGCATCACAGACTGAAAGAATAAAGACAGAGGAGACCTGAATGGGAACTGCCCAGGAAGGCAGGAAGTCACACTGATTCAGACTTTACATGACAAAGGGGAGAAGGCTGGCCTGGTAGTGGAAAGGTGGGAGAGAGCAGAGGCCCCCAAATGCAGACTAGAGCTGTCGTCAACAAAGGACCATTGCAGATGCCAAGGACTGTCATGCTACACATGGGGCATCAGGAGCAGCAGGCAGGAAGCAGCATATGTAACAGCATCTCTGAACTGCCCCTTCCTCAGGCTGGAACCAGGAGGAAAAGAACAGACAGTTCATCAGACACTGAGGTCACTGTGTACAGAGAGAGGCCCAGCTAGAGAACATTGTGAGAGGACCACCTGAGAACAGAGGGAGAGAGGGCACCTGGGGATGGGTGGGTAGAGAAGACCTCCTGGCAGAGACCTGGGACAGTTCATTCCCCCAGCCCCTGCCCTTTGACATGACCTTTGCCCTGGGACCTCTCTCCCAAACATCTGAACTGGATGCTCTGGGTGTTTACCTTTCAAACCATTTCTCCCACCAAACCTCAGAATTTTCATATTTGACTCCCTAAACCTGATTACGGAGATGTTTGAGGTTTTCACTTTTTCCCACCATTGTGTGTGTAGGACACATCATCGTGAAACAATGAGACCCCATGCATTCTAGAGCTGATGGCCATGCCCATAGTCATCAAGTGGGGGGACTGTCCTGCGTACCCCACCATCTCCTGCTTTTGTCCACAAGTACGTTATTCTCAAGTGTCCCTGGGTTTACAGGAAACTGAATCCCACCCTCAGTGGATCTGGTAGGCATGAGCTGATACAGTCAGCACCTCTCATCATGCGGATCATGCGGGCAGGTGGCGGTAGCTGGCGAAGCATGGACCTGTTGAAGTCAGGGAGCAGAGGTGGGGAGGATGCCTCAGCTGAGGGGTGGAGAGGCAGCGAGGGGACCACCTAGGAAGGGGATTCAGGATGCTTGGCAGCCAGAGGTGGCAACAGGTAAATGGAGGCTTGGTGAAGGACAGACCCAGCTGCAGGAGCCCAGCCAGGTGCAGGAGCCACATGGGCTTTGTAGACAAATCAGTCGGAAAACATCACTGGGGAGTAAGATGGCCCCGTGCACTGCATCACATGGCAGATTTGAACTTGTGTCAGGCAGAAGTGTGGCAGCCACTCAGTGCTCATGAGTCTGCAAAGTCACCAGGTGATCTCTGTCCCTGTCCCTATTTTCTTCTCCCTCTGCCTCTCCCTCTCCCTCTGCCTCTCCCTCTCCCTCTCCCTGTCCCTCTCTCTCTCTCTCTCTCTTTCCCTGTCTCTTTATGTGCATATTTAATATGCTGATTGTAGCATCTGAGATCTGCTTTGCAACTTCTGGATTTGCACCGTTCCTCATAAATATTAATGATCTGGGGCAGCCAAGACAAATCAGATTTCTGACCTTTTTTCTCCCCTTTGGAACCCATGCTGCAGCTAAATCCCTGATTGTAAATTGTTTGGGTGAATAAATGAACAAATACATCATGTCTGGTTTTTTCCCTGAGACATTTTGGAGGGATTTTTTTAGTTACAGATGAGGCACTGTCTCAATAATTAGTGTCGTGGTTTTGTGATCATGTGGCTATAGCAAAGAGAGCACTCATGTTGATTGCACAAGAGCAGCATCCGTGCACTCCCCACGCGTTTGGAATTGGGGTTGAAATTGCATTGTACTGAGCTGCAGAGGCTTCCTCTGGACTAGTGGTGGCCTCTGGGGACATTTCCCATGTGTAGCCCTATTCTGTACAATCCGTGGCTGAAGCTGCCAGGGTGCAGCAAGCACCCTGCCTTAGTCACTTTCCTTGTCACTGAGACCAATACCCTACACCAACGATCCTTAGAGGAGAGGATTGTTTTCTCTCACATTCTTTAGAGGGTTCAGTCCATGGTCAGCTGGCTCCAAGACACAGAGGTCATGGTGGAAGAGTCTGGACATGGACCACTGCTCACACCATGGCAACCAGGAAGCAGGGAGAGAGGGAGGAGCACCCTTCCAGATCACACCCCCGTGACCCCCTCCTCCAACAGACCCCGCCTCCCAAGAGCACACTCAGCCCTGAGTCCATCAGCTGATCTACCAGTGAGTGTGGCATCGCCATGATCCAGTCACCTTCCAAAAGTCCCTCTTCTGAGCTGTTGGGGTTATTGCAGATGCAACCCACAGCACCTCTGAAGGCAGAGCCGCCCACCTGGCTCGCCTGCATCTCTGAAGATCGAGGCCTTCTACACACCTGGCTCCAGGGAACAAGTGTCAGGGACTGCATGCAGTGCCTAAGTCCAGGCCTCTGTGACCCCAGGCTCACTCGGAGCAGCACTGTGGCCTGGCTGGGCCATTCTCAATCCCACAAAGCTGACCTGTCAGAATCAATGGCCACAGCTGCTGACCTAGCAACGTTTCCCAGACCTCTAAACCCACCCCAACCATGAAGAAGCCATGTGAAACTTTGGCCACATTATCCTCTTGATGAGACCTGAGAGTGACTATCCACCCATCACAGGTCACTTCGAGGGGACATACCCACCAGGCACCACAGCTGCCTACACTGCCCAGGCAGCAACAGAGAGGGATTCCTGCCGGAAGGACACCAGGTGCTTCCACGTGCTCACTATGTGGACAAGACAGGCATCCCAAGTCACAGAACCACAGCCCTGGTGGCAGAGGGCAGCGGTCAGCCACACATGAAGCCACAGGGGCCAGCAGCCCCTAGAGAGCCAGTGACACAGGGGCAGCAGGCTGAGCGTGGATAGGGGGCCCCACCTTCACCTGCTGTGCCCCAGAGCTAGAGCTGGATCAGAGCCTCATGGAGTGTCCAGTTTCCACGCCTCTGGGTGGATATGCTGCCCTCAACTCTCACTGTGACATCAGCACATCATCGCCCACCCAATGGAAAGATGGAAGGAAAGAAAAAGGGAACACGTTTTTAAAAGCTGGCGTCAGATGATGTTTAAGGCAGCAGCATCCCGGGCCCCTTTCAGTGGACAGTTCCTCACATCTAGACGCACCACGCTGGTGCCAGCCCAACACTCAGATCCCAGGGTGTCCACAGAGTAGTCGCTGGTTGGCGGCACATCACAGGGACTCGGGCCTGCATGTCTGCTGTGTGACTTCTATGGGGGAAGGCACTCACGTCCCAAACCCCTCCCTGGGTCCCTCCTTCCTGCCTCCCGTGAGAGTTCTGTGAATTCTAGACACAGAGCAGAGCAAATGTCAGGTTCAGAGCCCTGAAGTCCTGCATGTGGGCGGGACTGGAGAGCTCCGTCGCTCTTCCTGGTGTCATTTCTCCACTCTGCCTGGACACAGGGTGCTCTGCTCCTAACCTGCAGGTCCCCTTGGTTGGGAGTCCCTGGGTACAACTGCCCCTGGCATGCAGCCCTGGGTAGCTCGCTCAGCCTCCTGCGCCTTCTGGGTAAAATTTGAGAAGATGAAGACACAGTCTAGTGCTCACGGAGCTGCCATATGCAGGGGCAGGAGGGGTGGGCCCTGACCACAAGAGGGACAGTGCCGTCTAGCACCCACACAAGCTCTCCTGGTCCTCTTCCGTCACCCTGCACAGAGTCCCATCCCGAGCTGGCCCAGGGGTCGGCTCCCTGTGATTCAGACCTGCTGGTAGCCCCAGGAGAGAGCCCCGCCTCCATGCAGATCCAACCTCAGGCCTCTAGCTGTACCGCATGCCTGGGGCACCCACCCCATAGCTCCCAAAGCCACAGAAGACACCCTTCACACTGGCCCCTGACCCCACCCCAGGAACTCCTATTTAGACCACATAACCCACACTGTGTCGGCCCCTCATCCCCTCCAGCTGGGCGTCTGCTGCACTCCATAGCCCAGCTTACAAGAGAAAGGACTTGGATGTTTTCAGCTTAAGTCCATCCCCAAAGCACAGCAGATAATTGGTAGCAAGTGGGGTTGGAGGGGGAGAGGATGGGGAATGGGAAGCTGGGGGCGCTTGGATGGAGGGGCCCAACCTCTGGGTGCCCAGTGCAGATTCTCAGAGGACTTGGGGCCACAGCACAAGACCCTTAGGCCATCAGCAAGCGCCGCCCGCAGCTTGGTAAAGGGGTGTAACAACTATGCAAGTTCTTAGTTTGTTGATTGACAAACTAAGTCCACCTAAAGTCCATGTAAAGCAAGGCAACAACCACAGGAATGGAAAGAACTTACTCGAAAGAGCACTTTTCCCACAGTGCCCTGAACTTATTGGCTGACAACAAAGAGAAACCCAGGGGACTAATTCAAAGCCCATGACTCAAGACCCTGGAGCGACCAAGGCGATGTTCTCAGGTCCTATAGACTGAGGCAGTGAGAGTGTAATCAGAGGAAACCAGAAACAGAGCAGGTCACGCGTGGGGAACAGCGAATGCTGCCAGCCGGGTCCTTCGGATCTTGTCAGGGTGTAAATGTATTCATTTTTACAGTTACTCATGTAATCAATGATTAAAGGACTAGTCACTGAACAGGCGCCATCCGAGAGAAGTCCTGCTTCGCATGTTTAAATGCTCAGCGTATCCTTAGATATTATTCTGCATAAGTGAATGTAATCAGCAAGTAGGGGAGGCAGGGCAGTGAGTGTAACAGTATCTTGCCATCTGAACGGGTGGGGAAAGTTCCTGCAGATCTGACCATCAGATACTCTGTAGGGCACACTGCCACCTTCAAGCACTCCGCTGTCTGGAAGTTAACCAGTCTGTGTCCAGGGGACTTCTGGTGGCCAACCTTAATAGGCAAATGCTGAGAGTTGAAATTACTCCCTGGGTTTATACACGGTGAGGAAAAGTCACAAAGGCGTAGGGTGGGCGGCTTCCCCGCCAGCATAGTGGGTCCACAGGACTTTTCTCCTCCCCAGCCCTGCCTCTCCAGGTGCTGCTCTGTCACAGCTCCTGACCCCAGAAGCCCATTGGCAGAAACTGGGGCAGAAGACAGAGATGGAGGCCAGAGGTGCCGCTGTCCTCACTCCACCGAGACCTCTCCTGCTCCCCTCCCCCGCCTCCCCAGCTCCAGGGCAAACGAAGCCCCCACCTGGCACACGGCCGAGGCCAGGGTACGTCTCTGATCAGCCGAGGCCAGGATACATCTCTGATCAGCCAAGGCCAGGGTACGTCTCTGATCAACCTCCCATCTCTGTATTCAGGGCACAGAGGGACCCCGGCTTCTGGGCTGGGCAGGAGCTATATAGAGTTGGAGCTGATGTCAGGCCAGCAGCAGCCTCCCGGGGAGACAATGTGTGAGGTCTCACTGTGGAGCCAGACAGAGCCTTGTGCAGGGCCAGGTGTGGGGCCCTGGCTTCACCCTATGGCCCTATGGCAGCTACAACTTAAGGGACAGCATCCTTTCCCCTGAGGTGGACACCTCAGCAGTCTTAACCACATACCTACTGTGTGACCAACCAGGCCAGGCACTGGGGACACAGCAGCAGGCTGCACGCGTAGTTTATTACCCCAGTAGAGACCCCGGCCACAGCTTCAGGGTGCTGCTGGCCGGGAAGGCAGCTGCTGGAGAGTGCACCCTCCCCCCACCACACCCCTGCCCCGAAGCACCCCACCTGTGTCTGCCCAGACCCCAGGGTCTGTCCCTTTCCTAGTCACAGCTGATGACAGGCTCCCAGTGTCCAGCGCCCGCCAGGCCAAGCAGGGAGGATGAGCAAATCCCAGGAAATGCCGCCAGGGTGACAGGAGAAATGGGCAGCACCATGCAGACCACTGCGGTCCCGAGCTCAGCCGCCTGGCAGAGCCTCCACGCTAAGCTCCACCCCAGTCCTTTTATTTTTGATTTTGAGACAGAGCTTCCTTAAGTCACTAAGTTGCCCAGGTTGGGCTCAAACTTGCCATCTCCTGCCTCAGCCTCTCAGAGGGCTGGGACTGCAATCCAGGCTGCCATGCTCAGCAATGCGAGGTGTTTTGGAGCTCAGGTCTCTCTGCCCACATGTTCCCTCACCCCTGCTGGGACAGCCCTCCATGCCGCCACGGAGCTGAGGAGGAGGTGGGACTCCACCTCCTGCTCCCCCTTGGGGCAGGAGGACCTCGGTCCCTCATCCTGCACCTGCTGCAGGGTGTGAGTCACAGGGGTGGGGAATGGGTATGTGCCACACCCTTGCAGTCACGTGTGGTCTTCATCGTGGTGGCCACAGTGTCCTGAGGACCCAGCTCCAGAGTGACCGCTTCCTTGCCCCAAAGCACCCAGGTGAGGAAAGAGACAGCTGGAGCCACTTCCCACAGCAGTAGTCCAGGGGTCAGGCTCTGGAAGCAAGGCCTGCAGCATCGCTGCTGTGAGGACCCCAAGGCCATAGCGTCCCGACCCCAGAACCACGGGGCTCAGCCTGGCTCTCTACTCTTTGCAGCATCTCTGACACACAGGCTTTTGCCTACCCTGCCCCTCAGGGATCCGCAAAGCTGGAGCAGAGAAGGACCTCCTTGCTGTGAGTTTCATTCCCTTCGAGGTTACCCCAATCCTTTGGAGCTGGAGAGAGATGTGCCA